GTCTGTAATTGATGAAATTAGGACGTAATTGTTGGCAGCCGCGCGCTAGGTCGGATGTGGACAGTCCCGTGTTTTGAGTAATGCGGGACATTGAGGTCATAAAGCCACCTCGTTCGCTACGCTCACTTGGTGACTTTATTCGGTGGTTATAGCAACTGACAAGGCTTTATCACACCATATTCACCTCGGGGCGGGTCATTAACCCTTAAGTAATGGGTATACATGTAGCTGTATATATATAGGTTTAACAATAAGTAATGGGTTAGCAGAAATCATTAGGTTTAACAATAAGTAATTGGTATAGCAGTTATTAGGTTTAACAATAAGTAATTGGTATAGCAGTTATTAGGTTTAACAATAAGTAATGGGTATACATGTAGCTGTATATATAGGTTTAACAATAAGTAATGGGTATACATGTAGCAGTAATCATTAGCTTTAACAATAATCAATGGGAATAGCAATAAACATTACATTTAGCAATAATTCATGCCAAATATCAAAAGTTCAGCAAAGATGAATGGATGAATAGATGAATAGCTTATTTACATCCTCATTATCATTACAGATCGTACAGTGGAAGTAAAGTACGATTTACAATTAAGAGACAAGAAAAAATGTATACATAAATTAAACATTTCTGATCTTACAATTGAAAGTGCTCGTCTTACTGCTCATTTATGATGCTAACTTTTTGTTGTTGAGTAGGTCTACTAGGGCAATGTTCTACATTTGAACTGCGTTATCTGGTCTCTAGACCCAAGATTCTTGCCATGAAGACTTGCACGGTAAACTCTAGTACATCTTGTACTTCTGGAAAACGAAATCAGGACGTCTGATTGGCTGAGACTTAAAGTCTATGCCGAACGTGAAAGAGTAAAAGACTAAGTAATGACTGAATACCAGATCAACAACTTCGGTTGTCAGTTTTTCACAAGCTGGCAGCATGTCAGGTCAACTGACGAGTGAAGGTGGTCTTCTCAGATCTTGCGATTGAAGATGCTTCTAACCAGATACGGCACCAGTCAAAGGTGCGTGTTACAGTGTTGTAAGTATGGACTCTTCTCTGCTGTAGATAATATAAATGCCTGCTTGTAAGGCTACACCAAGTAAATTTTATGGATGACTTCCGCGCGCGCATTGATTTTGGCCTGTTCCTAGAAAAAAAACAATTCCGCTTCCTGTCACTATGACCAAAGAGTCACAACAGTGCCACAAATCGTTAGGTTGACGTGAAACCCGTAACGCCAAATGGGTAAAGAGCACATGCTTTGTTTCTGCAGGCCTGCAAAAATGTGATGAAAGAAACAGGACAGGACGATAACTGCTGTTCCACCTGATTCATTGTTTTTTTGATTATGATTATCAAGACTTCTTGCTTGTTACACTGTGTCACCTCATTCAATTTGTGTCCTAACATTTATCGTCTCTTAGTTTATTTTTAATCTAGGCATCTTGTTTTTCAGGGCCTTTCTTGTTTTTTTTTTCGCCCTCTCGCATTAGATTTAGGGTCTCCAAAGGACGTCATCCATAAAATTTACTTGGTGTGGCCTAACGGATGAACAAAAAGAAGACGGCAGGGTCATTTAAGTCTATTCAATTCAAGGATGTCGTCGACGAAAGTCATCTCCATCTTTTTGGCTGAATAAGAGACTTGGTTGTGTAAAAAGAGTCTCTTTACTCAGTGCCTTATCAACCTGATGAAACTATTCACGGATGTAATACATATAGCGCTTATATGGATAATGAATATATGAATGAATGGTTAGTTACTTGCATACCTCACAGTGTATGATTGAGTTACATAAAATCTCAATCCTTTTGTTTCCATTTTAATTCTAAAACCGTGAAACGTTTTCATTTGATTGACGTCAGTTGATGATGATACAGGTGCAAGTATTTCTCACCTTTACGGAGGGCAGCTTACTTCTTCTCCCCTCGCCGGTGGAGTCTTTCTGATGGTGGGGAAAAATGGATATTATGAATTTTCGAATTTTCTTAAATGTTGTTGTTAACACTGAAATGAGAAACAGTGATAAACACCATGATGACAAATGTGGTGGCATAGGAATTCATTTACAATTTCGCTCCTTTAAATATGGTGATATGGCCTAGGAACTACACGGGTATGATGAAATACGTACCTATTTGCAATAGATGCTCACTTAAACCATCCACGACGCTCTGCAGCCCTGCCTCTGACAGAGCCTTCATCAGGACCTCTATGGTAGCGGCGTCTCCTTTCTTCTTCTTCCATTCCTGCAGCATGTCCATGCAGCAGGACTTGTCGTCGGGGTTTCTTCTGGCGATGTTCCTAATGTCAGGATCTGGAATGCCGAGATGGAAAGCCAAATCTTTCCAACCCGTGCTCACGTTTTCCTTGATGAAATAGAAGGTCTTCCCTACGTCTGAAATGTAGGGTTGAACACATCACATATATCTCTGCACTCGACTAATCTACAAGCAGATCCTACCGGGTTGCAAGGCAGTATGCAGCCGATCGAGCAGTGCCTATTGGAATCTCTTTTTCCACCGTAGGATCAGCTTGGAGATTAATACACGACAGTTATGACGGACAGGACACATCCAACAAAATTAGTGACTTTTACTGTTACTGGTTAAGTGGAGCTAGTATCTCATTATTACAGGGCCATTATATCAGTAAGTCTGTATATAATCTACAAAATGCATATGTAAGATTTGATTTTATCTAAGCCTGTAAGAATCTGACCATCCAACGTTGAAGAATCAATTTGTTGTTTACATATGGCATTTAACACCTTGTGGCCGGACATCCGGATGACAGCAATATGGCACAGTTAAAGAAGCAAACCTTCATAAATAGGTCTTTCGTCGTACTTCTGTAAGTAATGTTACTTAGTACTTATTTTCTTTTTAAATGAAAAATTGTACCTTTAAAGGTTGCACCCCCTGCAACTCCTTTTGAAGCCTGTAAATATGCACACAACCATTATCACCTGCTTGGCATTTTGTACCATAATGTACATAACGTTCATTCTGTATTTACCATGTTTTTAATCAAGATGATATACAGACATGCAAATGTAATAATGTCATCTTAGCCACGCCATATTACATTTACTTCACATTTGTTAAGGTATGTGTATTTTTTTTAATGCTAGTAGTGGACAATCAAATCAAAAACAGATTTCATTCTTACCTTTTTTGGAGATCCACATGGCACAGAGAGTGGGAGCGCGCAAAGCTTTTTTGGTTGTAGAACTTCTGGGTCGGAGGAAAGCTCGAGTTTTTCAAGTTTCTTACGCACGTTCCTTATCTTTGCTCTGGTGTCTTTCTCTTTTTGGACTTTGACGCGTGGCATAGCAAGGAAGGCAACAGTGCCGTTGCCATCTGAACCATCGTGGGCCTCCACCTGCAAGTGAAGACGGTTGGGCCTCTGGCTGTGGAAGGTGATGTGTTGTGTGTAGGATGGCGCGATTGAAACATTGCCAAACAAACGTACTTCTACGTTTTGTCCTTCGAATACATTTACTGTTTTTGAAGGCAATGGACCATTGTAACCCTTTTGTATTAAATTTGCATGCTCTGTTTCTGCCTCCTCAGCCGGTTTGCATTCTATGACGACTTGATTTATGTTATCTTCCCTCTGCATCAGTATGAACTGTACGGCACGGTGTTGAAGCCATCGGCAAAGGTGAAGGGGGATCGGTCCTAGCTCTTCAGGATCACCGTAGATGTCTGCGACAACGATTACAATCCATCTGGAAATAAAATGTACAGTTGTCTGTTTATACTAGGGTGACAACTGCATGCTTGGCGATAGACGTTCAGTTTGAACAGGTCGAGTAAAACGCCAGTACATTTTCGATTGTCACCATTGTATGCTATCAACGGCAAAGGAGACGTCTCCGGTATATGATGTGTGTGTAACCCTACAAATCTTGTAATTTGGCGTGTACTATTAGTTTCTGATGTTACACACACACACACACACACACACACACACACACACACACACATATATATATATACGGAGGGGAGCAAGGGGCCAGTACCTGGCCTGTGCACGTAGGCAGGTATGCATATCTTTATCTATCTATCTATCTATCTATCTATCTATCTATCTATCT